AAATTGTTATAAATACATATTATTAATAATAGTTATGAGATCATATAATTGTGAATGTATATATGAAATTGATAAAATAAAATAAAATAAAATAATATCTATCTGTCTTCTGTTTTATTTACAGAGGCTTGATGGCAGTGAAGACTTTCACAAAACCTGGAATCAGTATAAGGAAGGATTTGGACATCTGTCACCCAATGACAATACAGAATTCTGGTTGGGAAATGAAAAGATTCATTTAATAACTACTCAGACTACAGTCCCCTATGCCTTGAGAATAGAGCTGGAGGATTGGAGTAACCAAAAAAGGTATAGATTTCTCTATCAGTTTAAAGTTCATAATTAACATAAAGGGGACTGGCAAAAATTGCTATTTTAGCTACCTGCACTTTACATGCGCTAGCATATAAGTGATACAATAAGATCACTGCAGCTGCTAGTTGTAACGCTGCCATGGTGGCACAGTGGTCAGAATGCAGTACTGCAGGTTATGTCTGCTGACTGCCAGCTGCCCGCACTTCGGAAGTTCAGTTCTCAACGGCTCAAGATTGAGTTAGCCTTCCATCCTTCCGTGGTGGGTAAAATGAGGACCCCAATTGTTGAGGACAGTATGCTAACTTGGTAAACTGCTTAGAGAGGGCTGTAAAAGCACTGTGAATCAGTGTATAAGCGCTACTGCTATTCTACAAGCTAAATGTATTGTATTTCAAACCCACTGAAATTAGTGGAATTTAAATTGCTTTTAACCAATGTATACATTAGCATTATAATATTAGCTAGGGTTAGTTTGTTTATCTGTTTTAAATAAAGACTTGTTTGTCTGAGCAATGTCTGCAGGAATGATCATACTGTAGTTGGTCCATTATTTGCTTGTCTGTGTAGATGCTATGTATGAGCACATGCGAACATCCCTTTCTTCCTCTGTGTGATTTTCTCTGTACCCTCTCGTGCGCCCTATTATTCAGAAAATCTCCCCCCCCCAAGGGGAAACGGAGCCAAGGTGGCGCAGTGGTTAAATGCTCAGAGCCAAGGTGGCGCAGTGGTTAAATGCAGCACTGCAGGCTACTGCTAGATCAGCAGGTCAGCGGTTCAAATCTCACCGGCTCAGGGTTGACTCAGCCTTCCATCCTTCCGAGGTGGGTAAAATGAGGACCCAGATTGTTGGGGGCAATATGCTGACTCTCTGTAAACCGCTTAGAGAGGCCTGAAAGGCCTATGAAGCGGTATATAAGTCTACTGCTATTGCTATTGCTATATTTGTTTAACTCCTGAAATTAAGTATTTTAATAATTTCTCAGGAATGAGTGCAGACCCCTGCCCTTGAAATATTAGTATTGGGCCGTCCAACTGAATGGCTAAGAAATGAAAGGCCACAAGAAGTTAATAGTGATTTTCGTTCTTTTTCCCCCCAACCCAGCTATGCCGATTATGCCCATTTCAAATTGGGAAATGAAGCTGACAAATACCGTTTGATCTATGCCTACTTCGCTGGGGGTGAAGCTGGGGATGCCTTTGATGGGTTTGATTTTGGAGACGATCCCAGCGACAAGTTTTTTACTTCTCACAACGGCATACAGTTTAGCACGCCTGACAGCGATAATGATAAATATGAAGGCAACTGTGCTGAACAAGATGGATCTGGGTGGTGGATGAACAAGTGTCATGCCGCCCATCTGAATGGCAAATATTATTCAGGTAATGTTTGGAAGTTCACATACGCACAATGCGCTCTATGAATGAGACATTTCCCAAGCCGCTGCTTTCTGACTTTCCCAGCAGTTTTTAACTTACGGTATAGCCTTTCTTCATACCATTTTTGCCTCTTTTAAAAATTCATGAAATATCATTAAGAAGGAAAAGCGGGGGTTAGTTGAACAATGTCTTTTGATACCTTCCATCTTAAGTATTTTAAGCAGGTATTAATTCATGTCCTCCTTCCCTTTTTTTTTTAAAAAAAAAAAAAAAAGAAGAGAGCTTAATATCTGCAACATAAATTTTTGGGTTATTAGCTCTAAATTAAACATACCAGAGGTGGTATTTGTTGGTTCTCTGAACTACTCAAAATTTCTACTACTGGTTATCCAGAACCAGTCAGAACCTGCTGAATTTCACCCCTATTAAAAGATCGGCATGCGCAGAAGCATTGCACGAGTAAGTGTGTGTGTGCACGAGTAAACTGGTAGTAAAAAAAAATGGAAACCCACCACTGATTCTTAACAATAGTTCTGGCCATTGAGAAGCTGGAAACACAATTATACAAAAAGCTGTCAAGATAATATCCTGGTGGGGTCCTTGGTGCTTTCCAAACTTGTTTGTTTGTGTGTTTGCAGAAGTTTTATTACCAAACTAGATAACATCATCAGTATTAGAAAGGAGTAGAGTTTGCTCTCATTTTATATTCTAGTGACCTTCCGGGAGTGGTTTTGATGGTTCCTTGACTTTTGTTTACTATTAGCTTGTTTGGCAGTTCCTTGACGAATTGATCTGATTTAATGCCATGGAACTTCTAAATAAGCATTAAAACATAAGGAGCGGATTAAATATGCCTTTGCTGCAGTGGTGAAATTCAATTTTTTTTTTACTGCCGGTTCTGTGGGCGTGGCTTGGCGGGTGGCAGGGGAAGGATATTGCAAAATCTCAATTCCAACCTCACTCTGGGGCCAGTCAGAGGTGGTATTTGCCGGTTCTCCAAACTATTCAAATTTCCACTACCGGTTCTCCAGAACCAGTCAGGACCTGCTGAATTTCACCCCTGCTTTCCTGGCTTGGCTCTCAAGGGCAGTCAAGGTTAATAGCCATTGATCTCTATGACTTTCATGAACTGATGCAGTCTTTTTATTTAAAAAAAACCAGGCAAACTGGTAGACAGCACATCTCATGATAGCAAATTCCAACTTTGGATTATAATTCATGCAGAAATGTTAAACACCGTGTCTGCAGCAGTTTAATACCATTGTACTTGATCGTAGAATAAATGAAATTACCTAACGTTCACCTAGCACAGTCTTAAAATTAATATATATTAATTTTATCAATTAATAACATTAAGTTACCCGCATAGGTATCTCAAAGCTATGTAAAAGTATTTCCTGGCTCATTTACATTTTACTTCTCCCCTCCCACCCATTTTAGGAGGCACTTATACCGAGAAAGACGCAGGTCCAACTGGCTATGACAATGGCATTATCTGGGCAACTTGGCGTGATCGGTGGTACTCCTTAAAGAAAACAGTTATGAAAGTCATTCCTTTCACCAGACTCGCAATTGTAACAGGGCAACAAAGTGGAGGAGTGAAAGATGTTGATTTTGGAAGCCGTGGAGACATTTAGAAAGACAACTGCCTTTGTAAAGGCAACGATGAACACCAATGCTATCGAATTTTGAGCATATTGTTTACAATAAAACGGCACATTCATGACAAGAAGTGTATTTTTTTTAAGAAAAAAAAATCATCTTAAGTTTTCTAATAAACATACATGATTACTGATCATATATCGTAAGTTCTGGCGGTGTCTACTACTTAAATTGACTTTAAAAGCAGGTGTTATAGATTATTGTGATTGGTTTAAAAATTAGTCATATTTATAGAGGACATCAGTTTAAATCAATAGCCTTTATGTATGTCATGACTAATTGAAATCTCACTGATATCATTGCTTGGTTCCCACAATGAGCTAAGCTTACCACACCATATTTAGGCATGTTCAACAGCAATTGGATGTTTGTTGGCTGGTAGGCTATAAATCATTGGTTAACAAACTAGAATAGCTAAGTGCACAGGAGCCAAAGATAAATAAACTAGCTTATGACTTAGACCAAAATTTGCACCTAGCCATTTAAACTTCTAATAACTTTGTCTTGCCCCAGTCAAATCATGAGGAAAATGATTTCTGTTGATAATCTGGCTTCATTAAGTGTAACTTCTTGTAAACATAAAGACATTTAAGATAGCAATGTGATTAATGTCTACCGAGGATGTCAGATAAATGAACAAAGATCTTCATGGAATTCTATTTGCAGACATTAAAAAACCAATATTTTTCAAATACCAGTGTTTGTTTTCATTTTTACTGCAAGTTAGAGATGCTTTAAAAAATAAGATGGAAGTGAAACTAAACTCAGTTCAGACAGTAATTTTCTCTATTACTGGAATAAAAGGCATTCATCGTTCATTTCTTGCACACATTGCATAAATATATGTGTGTACAGTTGTGTAGACCTGTGATGGCGAACCTATGGCATGCATGTCACAGGCCAGCTGATTTTTCTTTTGCCTTCTGGAGGGCGGGGGAGGGCATTTTCACCCTCCCAAGGCTTCAGGAAAGCCTCCAGAGCCTGTGAATGACGAAAAACAGGCCCAACGGGCAAACCGGAAGTTCGGAAACAAACTTCCGGTTTGCCCATTGGGTGGTTTTCTTTGCCCTCCCCAGGCTTCAGTAAAGTCTCCGGAGCCTGGAGAGTGCGAAAACTCCCCAGGGATAGAGGGCAGGGAGTCATGTGCGTATGTGCGGGGCGGGGATCACACGTGCATGCACAGTTGGGTGAGGCACATTGAATTGGGGTGTGAGCACCCACAATTTTCACACGCCTTTACAAAAAGGTTCACCATCAATGTATTGATCTACATTGGCTAGTTTCACATCACATCTCTCTCTCACACACACACACACACACACTATGTATAATTGATTAAATATTAAACACACAAAAAGAGAGATGCAATCCCCTCCTTCCAGCTAACTCATTGTTTCAGAAACATAGGTATCGATTCAGATCATCAAGGTGTTGTGAAGTAAGGTAAAATTCAATGGTGATATTCAGCTTTGGTTCCCTTTTTAAGGGCTTTTAACAGGAATGCAATTAACAGGAATTAAAAAAAGTTTTCAAAACTTTATTTGCAAGTAGATTTATTTCAAATCTATATGCAAAAACATAGAATGGATTAACATGTTTGTGCTAAACCATCATGTAGATTATTTTATTTGTTTTCATATCCTATGAATGGAATGTACATTGCTTAATTTATTATCAAATTTGTATACTAGCCTATGCTAGTATAAGCACATAATATCAAAATACATAGCGCTATCACAATACAAAATCAATTTTTAAAAAAACACACAGATTGAAAAACAGTTATCATATTAGATATAAAATACAATATGTCAACAAAAACCAACATAAATCAATAAACCACTTAATTTCTGGATATCGAACAGAGGAAGACTGTTTTAACTGTTTTCCTAAAACTTAGAAGAATGGAAACCAATTGGAACTTCTGGGGAAAATTCATATATAATTAGGGGACAGCAAGACAACAAGTCTATACTTGGTCTTTTGTCCTTCTGCATTTCTCACCACTTATAGAAAAGGAATTCCTCGAAGAAAGACTTCACCAATGAGTAGATGTTATTAAAGGTTAAAAATCCCCAAGGGAAATGGAGCCATACCAAGTAGGAATTTTTAGTAACCAACAGAACAAGTGAATTCTGAAAACTATTGGCAACCAATGTAACCTCAATATAGGTATTATAGTATGAATTCAGTTTCCATCAGCCAGCAAGTATTGATTGAAATCTCTCCCAGCTGCAGCTTTCAGATAAAATTTCAAAGACAGCCCCAAGTAGCGCAAATTGCAATAGTCTAATTTCAAGGAGCTGCTTAACTTCGAGCCAATTTCAAAAATATTTTCTGATCTAAAAAGGACTGCCGTTGTTTTCTCTGCTTGTGATCAAGTTTTCAGTTTTCAGATGGCTCCGAATATTCAGGATAGTGAAAACAAATATATAACACAGAAATTAAGGGGAATGGAAAATAAACTGGCAAATTAGATTCTTTGTATGAACTAATGTACCTTTATGATCTAAAATTATAAATATTAATAGTATCATACTAATAGGTCACTTTAAAGCCAACATGTGTTCAATAATTGTTCTAGCAATAGTTAGCAATAGTTAGGCTTATATACCGCTTCATAGGGCTTTCAGCCTTCTCTAAGCAGTTTACAGAGTCAGCATATTGCCCCCAACAACAATCTGGGTCCTCATTTTACCCACCTCGGAAGGATGGAAGGCTGAGTCAACCTTGAGCCACTGAAATTTGCTTTCTTCTTTTTAAAAAAATAATTTTTCTTCTTTTTTATTTTCAAAACAAACACAAGACATCCTTCTTTACATGCTGTAGAAAGTGTATCAGCTGCTTTCTTCTTGAGGTTTGGTTTCTTGTCTATTGAAAGCAGCCAATGTTTGCATTCAATTGACTTTGCTCTCTGCCCTGTTCTATATTGCCATTTTTCTTGCATAAAGGTAAAGGTTCCCCTTTACCTTTATGTACTAGTTGTTCTCAACTCTAGGGGGCAGTTCTCACCTCCCTTTCGAAGCCGAAGACCCAGCGCTGTCCAAAGACATCTCTGTGGTCATGGGGCCGGCATGATTAAACACCGAAAGCACATGGAGCGCTGTTACCTTCCCACCAAAGGTGGTCCCTATTTTTACATGCTTTCGAACTGCTAGGTTGGCAGAAGCTGGGACAAGTAATGGGAGCTCACTTCGTTACGCTGCGCTAAGGATTCAAACCTCTGAACCGCTCACCTTTCTGATCGACAAGCTCAGCATCTTAGCCACTGAGCCACCGCATCCCCATTTTTCTTGCATAAATGCTCCCAATTAGCAATTGAGATATGAGGTTTGCTCTTTGTCTGAATGTGTGAAAGTTTAAGAGATGAACAGGTTCATAGCCCACCACCAGCTTTAAAATTCCTGATGGAATCACAGACTAAGTACAGAGTGATAGCGAAGTTGCTACGTTCAGTTTGAGACAGGTTATGTACATAAATATAATTCATGAGTATCAGGGGTGAAATTCAGCAGGTTCTGGAGAACCGGTAGTGGAAATTTTGAGTTGTTCGGAGAACCGGTAAATACCACCTCTGGCTGGTTCCAGTGTAGGGGTGGGAATGG